AGACAGGTGAGATTTTTATTTTATAAAAAATATTTTAAAAAAAAAAAAAAAAATTATTAAAAAAAAAAAAAAAAAAAAAAAAAAAAAAAAAAAAAAAAAAAAAAAAACGGTTTTTGATTTATATATAATATTATATTAATCGATATGTTAATTTCTCAGATTTTCCAATAAAGGAGTATTATATGCAAAGATCGAGTTGTCAGAAAAAGATATCATTCATCTCTTTATAACTCATACTCAAGCTTCCTACATGTCAGCACCACCTTTAATAGATAAATCTGTAATCATTCGTCAGGAACAATTATTTTTCCTCCGTAAATTCATTGATAAATGCACTTTAAATGAACCTCTCGAAGAGCCAATTATTTTAGTTGGTGATTTAAATGTTAATTCACGTCCTCAGCCCAATTCTCCTGATATGAATGGAGATACCGCTGAATATTTAAATATGATTAAAATCTTAAGTGGTGAAGGCATCGAAGCTAATCAAATCGATAAATCAACATCTCCTGATGAACGTTTATATAATAATCCTAAGATTGTCAAAATAATAGATACTCTCAAAGAACGGTATGGAAATCATCCAATTACGTTTGGAGATGTAATTATCGCTGACGATGGTACTATTAGCCCGAGAGAAACCGTTTTAACGGGAAAGGACGATTTACTATCTCAAGCTAGTTTGGATTATATTTTACTGATTGGTGAACAATCAAAGCAACGAATATGGGTTGATATTCAAGGAACTCGTGTTGAGGAGTTCTTCGTTAATAACACCTCAAATTATCCGTTCAGCCAATTATCTGGTATGTAAATAAAAGAAGTTGTCAAGAAAACGTTTTCTAATCTTTTTTTTTTTTGACAAAAATTATGTGCTTTCCTTTTTACAGATCATTACGGTGTTAGTACTCATCTCATTGGCTCTTAAATTAAAGAAACTGTCTTTAAAGGAATATTATGATTTGGAAATTATATGTAATATGTTCCTCATTAATAAAAGCTTTTTATAAAAGGTCATTTATTTCCATTCTAAATACCAAATTCTTTGACCTTTTTTATATCTTATAATATCTTGTAAACTTCCGGTCATTAAACCAACACCTGCTCCAATCATAATTGCATATCTCGTACTTTGTTTCGGTAATCGATCTATAAGAAAATTAAAATTCGTTTTTGAATAATGATATTAATGCGAGCTCCCGAAGGACAAATTTATAATACTTACATATCCCAGAAACAATCGCACCACTCATAATACCAGCACCAAAACTATTAATAAAATCATTCTCTTTCCTAATAAAATCCAATGAGGTCTCTAAACTACTATATAAAAAACATAATGCGCTCATTTTTGCAGAATATTTTAAACCAGCTCTTATTGCCCCCAACGTAACTTTATAATTTTTCTTTTTGTGATAAAAATACCATTGTTCTTTGGTTTTCGGTAATACATGTGCATGTTCTGCCAAGTATTGTAAGGAAGTCCGTTTTGCTCCTTGCCGACTACCCGACATAAAGCCCCATATTCCTCCTATAATACAAGTGGTAGTAATCTTTTGATATGGTGTTAAATTAGCTCGCAATGTGTATGAGGGAACTGAAGAGGATGCCATTGTAAAAGAAATTTTTTAATATTGAGATTTTAATTGAATTTTGAGATCAGAAATTTTGATTAATTATCAATCACGTGAAATTAAATTATGTCACGTTTTATATCGACTACAAAAAAATAACTCTAAACTTAAATCATAAATAATTGGTAAGATTATATCATCTTTGTAATACTTTGAATAAATATTGATTACGAAATAATGGATAATTAACGTGTTTTTTTTTCAACTTGAAGCTTTTTGAGAGAATTGGAATGATATTTTATTGATGATGAGTTAATAGCTATGTTATTTTAATATTAAATGGTAGAATATTAGTATTCCTTAGATTCAGATTTGCTTGACAAACATAAAGAAAATAAGTAATAAATTATAAAATATTAATTTATAATTATTATAAAAAAATATAATTTAAACTTAATTAGTAAATGCTTTTAATTAAAAAGTTTTAATTTTAAAATCAAATTTTAATTTGTCATAATAATTTTTTTAAATTTACCGGGTGATGATCACAGATCTGCAAATGTGCGGGGAAGTACAGAATGTCGAAAATGTTAAACATATTAAACATGTTTAACATGCTTAATATAGTTAATAGTATTTAACATATCAGATATGTCTAATATAGTTAATATGTCAATATATATAATAGAATAGATATAAATACAAGCTTTTTGTATTTTAGAAAAGACAAATTGATGGTTATTTAGAAACCTCTCTCTTGTAAAAGATAGCAAAATGCCATTCTTCACTTTGCTTATTTTCATTTTCTTATTTCATATTTTATTATCTTCTATTTCTCTTTTCTTCAATAAGTATTTCTTATTTTATATTGTAAACTCTCTGTGATTACTGTGAAAACTTCAACCTGTGATTAAAGTTGCTTACGTTTAGTAAATCCAACCTGACTTGATAAAACTGATAATAAAATAATTAGAATTAGCATGAAACTAAATTGAAATTATACATAAACTATAAAAGAGTCAACCCTCTGACATCACGTTTAACAGTTGCAACCTGAAAAGATTGTATATTAACATTTGACGATGATGACAGAACCTTCTTCTCCTATTTACATATTACAGCATAATTAAATAACTATTGATATATTCTCATGAACATATTTTATATATTTAACGATCTATCAAAGTATTAGAAAATTTATCACTAACTGCACACTAAAATCAACTATAACATTAGGATTGCAAAACTACTTACTGAAGATTCTTCCTATCTCATTTGTAACTATAATACTGATTTCTTTAAACTCTCAAAAGCCTTTTAAACTTTATTTGACTGGACTGTTAACAATCTTGAAGCACAACAATATACAGATAAAAGTGTAATTACATTTGAACAAACTATTGCTGTGCTAACTATCAACCTCTAACGAGTATACTTTCAATAAGCTTTATACTCTTTACATTATAATCGACTACCCTCACTACATTAGATCAATCTATTAGATTATATGTTAAAGATTTAAAGAAAAATCAATATTAGAAGACTGTAAAAATAATAATTTCTAGAACTGTTACCACTAATTAGTTAAGCGTGAATAAACAATCCTCTATTAAAGAAGTAAGAAAGAGTTTTCATACCTTTGAGGATACTTTAAATACTACCAACTTTGACTTAGATTTTAGACACAAACCTGATATTAGAAGTAGTAATCTCTTTCACCTTAGCTATCCTAGCAGTGTAAGACTCAGAAGTAGCTATAGATTTAATAATATAAGACTAGAAAATTGGGATATTAATTCTAAAAATAGGAAACTATCAATTTTACATTGTTTTGACTTTGAAAATAAGGATAATAATGATATTAAATCCTTTGATACAAAGGGTAAAAATAAACAAGCAGATAATATTTCACAAATGGAAATTAAGCTGAAATTCAAGTTTAAAAAGGCATTTCCTAAAAAAAAGAAGCAAAAGAAATGTTAATAGTATTCTAAAGATAAAGAAAAACAAAAACTTATAAAAAAAAAAGCAAAAGAAATGTTAATAGCATTCCAAAAATAAAGAAACAAAAACAATCTCTCACATTATTTTACCTTTATAATCTAAGTTAAAATCTAGATTTAGAAAATGTATTCTAAAATAAGAAGTAAAAGGAATATTAATAGCATTTCAAAAATAAAATATAAAAACTCATAAGAAAGAAGCAAAGAAACGTTAATGGCATTCTAAAAATAAAGAAGAAAAAACAATTTCTTACATTACCTTACCTTTATAATCCAAGTTAAAATCCAGATTCAGAAAAATTTCTTCTAAAAAAAAGAAGTAAAAGGAATGTTAATAGTATTCCAAAGACAAAAAAATAAAAACTTACAAGAAAAAAGTAAAGAAATATTAATAGCATTTCAAAAAATAAAGAAACAAAAATAATCCTTCACATCACCTTACCTTTATAGCTTAAGCTAAAATCTAAGTCCAGAAAGGCATTTTCTAAAAAAGCAAAAGGAACTTTAATGGCATTCCAAAGACAAAGAAGAAACAAAAACAATCTCTTACATTACTTACCTTTATAGTTCAAGCTGAAATTCAGTTTTAGAAAGGCATCTCCTAAAAAAAAGAAGTAAAAGAAATGTTAATAACATTTCAAAGACAAAAAAAAACAAAAAACTCATAAGAAAAAAAGTAAAAGGAACATTAATAATATTTTAAAGATAAAGAAAAACAAAAAACCTATAAGAAAAGAAGCAAAAGGAATATTAATAACATTCTAAAGATAAAGAAATAAAACAATTTCTTATATTATTTTATCTTCATAGTCCAAGCTAAAATCCAGGTCCAGGAAGACGTTCTCTAAAGGAAGAAGCAAAAGGAATGTTAATAGCATTTCAAAAACAAAGAAAAACAAAAAAATCTACAAGAAAAGAAGCAAAAGAAATGTTAATGGCATTTTAAAGATAAAGAAACAAAAATAATTCTCACATTACCTTATCTTTATAACCTAAGTTAAAATCTAAGTCCAGAAAGATGTTCTTAAAGAAAAGAAATAAAAAGAATATTAATAACATTTCCAATGACAATAAAAAAACAAAAACATTAACTTATCTTTATAGCCCAGCTGAAATTCAAGTCTAAAAAGGTGTTTTCTAAAAAAAAAAAGTAAAATAAAAGTTAGTAATATTTTTAAATAAAAAAGAAAAAATTTTGCATTTTTTGTTTGAATTCAAACTGTTTAAGTCAAAATTCTAATCATTTCAAAGTATAAGATTCAGAAGGAGAAAAGTAAAAGAAAGAGAAAAGAGAGAAAAAAAGAGAGAAAGAAAAAATATGAAAGAGTAAGAGAAAGAGAAAATAAGTGTAAAAGAATAAGAATGAGAGTAAAAGTGAGAGAGTGAGTAAGTATGTAATGTAATATGTAGATTTAATATTATTATTATTATAAAAAACATTAAATAAAAAAAATAAATAAAAAAATTTATGCTTAACTAAATTGGATTAACTAGATTTTTAGTGAATTATCTATCCTATTTGTTTACTGGATATCTGATGATCCATCTGATTAATTTGATAATATAAATAGATCAATCTGATTTTAGTCAAATTTTAGATGGATGATCAGATATCTAAATTGATCAGATTCAGAGCACACCTTTATTTGATATCATATTCCCATAGAAATAATAAAAAATTTAAGTAAAAATTACAATATACAATTATTAAAATCATTAATTCAGTTAAACTAATAAAAATTCTTCAACTTTGTATAGAAATACAATATTTTGAGAAATAATACTTATTATAATAATATATTTTTTATAAGATATAGAATGATTTATATATATATTAAATAATTTATCTAAGAAATTAAAATAATTAATATAATAATTTAATTAAAATAAGATTATTATAAATAAAACCTATCAAAAATAAATAAATAAATAAATAAGTTTAATTTATCTGGTTTAATAATACCATTTTTTTAACATTGATTTAAAACTACTAAACTAAAAAATCTATAAGCTGCATCATTATTCTGTTTATTCATATTAATAATATCTCTTATATATAAAGCAGAATTTTTGCTTTTTGCTATTTAATATCTGATCATATCTAATAATATTATCAAGTTCTAATAATTATATATCACTATATATATTATTTCTACCATTTTTTCACATATTTTGAATCTTGAATCTGAATTATTAGTCTGTTATTATAAATTGATACTGAAAAATTAATATTATATAATTTATCTTTATATCGCAAAAAATCAGTTATCTTTTCTTCTTTTATTAATTCTAATTATATATTAAATTTATTAACTGCTTCATCTGATGCAATACAAATTAATTTTAATTTAGTCTATATTATTATTTTAATCAAATTATATAACAAATTATAGATTTTACTTATAGTATCATTTCCTTTAATAGGTAATAAAGTAATTATAACAGGAGGAATTCATGTAATTAGTACCTAAAAAAGATAATAAATAATAATAAATAAATATAAAAAATTAATTTTTATATAAATAATTTTTTACTTTTAATAAAATATAATGAATTTATAAGGCAATTTTATTATTCTCCCAAATATTTTTAATTATTTCATGTATATCACTATATGTATAAACTTGTAATATTTCAAAAGACATTGTAGATCCAATAATACAACCTAATTTTTGAGAATATATTAATTTAGAATAAACTTTTGTGCAATTAGTTATTACTATTACTATAAAATAATAACATTAGAAATAATAAAGAAAATTAATTCTTAGACAAATAAAAATTAATTTATAAAACAAATTCTCTTAATAATAAGTAGCAGAAATACATTAAGTAGATATAACTCTTATTAATCTGTCTTTATTTTTAGTTTGTAAATATTTAAATGATAATAAAATTATTGTTATTAAAGTAAATTTTAATATTAAATAAAAAATAAAATAATTATCTAATTGATTGTAAATCTATTTTAACAAATAAATCTTTAAAAATTTGATATTTTTTACTGCTTTCTGATAATAAGCTAAAAAAATGATGTAAATTTTCTGAATATCACAAGCCTCTTTTACTTTTTTCTAGTTTTTCAATATTCTTTATTTGTAATATTAATTGAGCTAAATTACAAAAAGTTTTATTATTATTAAATTTTCCTTTCTTTTCATTTTTTACTAATTGAATCTATATATCTGATTCCTTATTTTTTTACTGATCTAAATAAATCTTGAAAACCTAGATTTTATAATAATTTATCCAAAATATTATTATATAACCAATATTTAAGAAGGTATTTAGCAGTATCAGAAGTAGCTTGATGCTAATATATAATAAAAAACTATTAATTTATTATAAATAATTTGATGTAAAATTTAAAAATATTTTCATACTGCACCTAAGGCACTTAATAATCTTTTATTTATTTTTAATCTATTATAGTTATTACAAATTTGAAATGTATTAGTAGTTAACAATTCACATTTTATATTCCTAATTAATATTGTTTTCTTTTTATAATTCATTTAACATTTATTTGTAAAATAAATTTTAATTTTTGATATTTAGCTTTTATTAATTTGAAATAAAAAAATTTAGAGTTTTTTGGAAATTTATCTGAAAATAATTCTTTTGCTATATAAAATCATTTTTTGAATCATCAAATTTAACAGGATTTTTAATTACATATTGTTTAATTTTTTCATTAGTTAAACTAATACAAACTCTTACTTTAATTTATTGTCAGATGATTTTTTAAAAGATATTTTAATACACTAACTTGTTGATCTATTTTTATTTTACAATTATTATGTTTTATATGGTTAATTAAATTTTTTGCTCTAAATTTTCAATCTAATTTTATTTTCTTTTCACATTAACATTTAACTAATTTTGGTATTATAGTTGTAAAAAAATTTATTGCAATATAATTTTTTTTTAAAATAGCATTATACTAATTTGTGATACTGAAATTTTATAAAACTCAAATTATGCATCTTTTGCTAACAAATAAATTTTAACACGTTTCTTCTTATAAAAGGCCATAAACTAATATTAGATAATTAGATAATTTTGGATAATTTTAAACAGGTTTTAGACAAGTTTTAGATACTTTTTCTTATATCTAAAACTTGCCTAAAATTATTAAAACCTAAAAATGTGTTCAAAACTCATCACTACCATAAACTATAGAGTAAGTTTAATATATGTATTTCTTATTTTACATTTTTTACTTCTAATAAATTATGTCCATTTCTACAATTTCTTCAAATTGCTTCAATTTGGTTGAAAACTGAAATACTGAATCTCTTATTAGTTTCTTAAATGATCTGAATATAAACTTTAATAAGAATGATTTTAAGGTTCTTTATAAACAGAAAATAGATAGTCAAATCTTTTTAGATATGACTGAAAAAAAATTTATAAAGAATAGTATAAAATGGAAATCTGTTATAAATAAGATTGCTAGATGAAACTTGAAGGTTTTGCAAATTGTTTAATAGAAAAAGTAAAATTTATTAAAAATCTGCAAAATTCTGAAAAAGATAAACTATATCAAAACTTATTAAAATGTAAAACTATATTAAAATCTTAGTAAAAAATTAGCATAACTATAGTTTAAATATTTGTCAAATCCAAAATGATTTTAAAAAAGTAACCTTAGCTATAAAGTTTGAAAAATATTTAAAGAGTAAATAAGAACTCTCAAAAAAGATAAAATAAAATACTTTTGATATTTTCTATATGATATTTAGTCTATTCAACATTTTAAATCCTAGTTAATTAATATATTTAGACTTATTGAAAGAAATGAGATACATATGATATTTTATAATACGTTATATATTTTCTGTAATGATCTGATATTCTTACAGGAAATTCTTGAAATCATTAAAAATCTCTTACTTAAGAAAAAGGTATATATTTTAGTTTTGCTAACCTAAATATATAATTTTCAGATATAATATATTAAGTATAAAAAGCTTTTGCTTAAAAATATATAAGCCCTCTGTTATTGTAATGCTTAAATATATTTATTCTATAAGGTGACATAAGATTATTTAGCAATATTTTTTGATAAAGATCTATTATTTCTGAAGGAAAATTCAGTTATATACCTTCTTTTGATAAAAACATACTGGATAATATTTTGTATTTAGGTATATTATTTTAAAAATACATGCTCATTACTTATTGTATCACTATTCAAAATATATTATTTTTTATTTTATTATTCCTAATATGATACTTACTACTAAAAGATTTTATTTTATCTATTTTTATATAGGTTAATGGAAAAAAGATCATAAACCTTTAGCTAATACTTTTAACCTATAAGAAGAAATAATAGAGAAGCTAATTTCTCTAAAGTCAAATTTGTTAGTTTCTTCTATTTCTATTGCTAAAAAATGAAGTATTGGTAAAACTTTAGATGTTTCTACAGATATTTCATTATAGGATGATAGATCTATAGATATTTTAGAAATTTTAAAGACTACAATATATGACTTTGACTAAGGTATAATATCACTAGATTCCTTCTGCTCATACAAAAGTTTCAATCATTTATATATAAATTTTAAGCATTATATCAAAGTTCTTAGAAAAAGTACATATGATGTTGAAATGTATTGGATCCTTGTAAATTGATTAAGAAAAATCTATAAATATAAGATTACTAACCAGTGATATCTTGAATAAGTTTGTGATAACAGGAACTACCATTATCTTTATTGCGACTTAACTATAAAAAACCTAAAAGTTCTCATCTGAAAGCTCTTCTTGAATTCGTGGCAATATAATAGATATTTTAAGTAAGCGTTTAAGTACAAATAGCAATTCCAATCTTAAGAATTTTGGATTGTACACTTCTCCCATAAAGATTACATTGTATTTAATAAATATTGATCATATAGAAAAAGGAATTAGATGTTATCTACAGAAAGTGATTACGGGTATCTGAACGATAAGTATTTTTTATTTATTTGCTTTTTTTACATATTATATATATTTCTAATTTAAACATTTATTTAGAATATAAATGGATATTAATCACAATAATAACAAATAATTTTCTTTTAAACAAAAATGGTTAAAATAAAAGAATTGAATGCTGAACACTATAGGATAATTCTTTATAGCCACAAACAAGATGATTAATATCAAAAAATTGCTGACATTATTCAATGTGGTAAAATAACTGTCTATGATATAATAAAATGTTTTAAAGAAACTAGTTTTGTAATACTAAAAAAACGTTATAATCTAAAGCCACTTCTTAATTCAAATGCAAAATCTTCACTTAAAAAGATTATTACACAAAATTTGAAGAATCATCGCCTTATCACTCAAAAAATTAAAGAATTATAAACTAAAAAAAAAGAAGTTTCAACTGTTAAAATTTGTTAAACTCTTAAAAAAGTCAGCTTACATTTGTGTATTATCTGCTCTAAACTGTTAATTTCTAAAATAATAAAAAAAAAAGATTAACTTAGGTATTGAAATGAGAAGATTGAACAATTACAAAATGGAAGAAAGTTGTATGATCTGATAAATCAACATTTAGCCAATTTTTACAAGATCATAGCTTATATGTGTGACGTACACTAGAAGAAGAATTTGACACTTCTTGTTTAACTGCTACAATAAAGTATAGTCCTAGCCAAATGTTTTAGAGATGCTTTTTGTGATATAAACTGAGACCTCTTATTCCTTTTTGCAAATCTGTAAGAGGACAAAGATATATAAAAGTGTTATAAAGGTATGTTATTCCTTCAATTTACAAATTAGTTTTTCGCAAATAAGAAATTTTTCAAAAGGATAATGCCTTACCTTATTGAACAAAAATTGCTGCTGATGTTCATAATGCCTCTAAGATTTCTATGCTACTCTGACCTGCACAAAACTCTGATTTAAATCCTATTAAAAATCTTTGAAATAAAGTTAATAAAAAACTTCGTAACTTGCCTAATCAACCTAAAAATGTGGAAGATTTAAGATATAAGGTAAAATATACTTGGCATTTAATTCCAATTGAGTATATTTAAAATTTGGTTAAAAGTATATCCTGTTGTATTCAAGCATATATAACAGCCGAAGGTAGTTCAACAAAGTATTAGTTTTTATTTTTTTTTTTAATAAAATAAATAGGAAATATTCAGAAAAAATAAATTTTTTGCTTATTCTAAAAAAAGTTAATATAATAAGTAAATTCAAAATAGTTTAATTAATTGTTCAAGTACTCGTGATCACTCTCTATATTTCTGATACGATAAGAGTTTAAAAATATTAAAATTTTATGAAATTCCAATTTTTTGTGTAATGTATTGATATTTAATCAGGTGTATTCAGATTTACTAGTGAATTATCAGTTTTCTTAATAAATGAGACATAGGTATATCTCACATCATAGAAGCGTAAATTATTATCTGAGATAAAGACAAGTGAAATTAATCCAATTATAGAATTATTTTTAAAATATAAAGTTATTAGATATCAGAAAAGATTAATGCGTTAAAGATGAACTAAAAGTTGATCAAAATGCTCAACATCATTATCATTCAAAAAAATACTATTTATATATATCTCAAATAATGATACTCAAACTAATAATATTGCCTGTGATCACAAGAAAGAAAATAATTATCAGATTATGAATGAACTTAAATTATTAACTCAATATCTACTTAATTATAATAAAAGAACTTTTAAAAGTTTATGTGAGATATAGAAAAGGAATATAGAGAATGGGCTAATGTAAATATAAAAATGTAGAGTAAAATTAAGAATCTGAAGATGCAGATACAGAAGGCAAAAAAAGAGCTAGTATCTATAAAGTCAGATTCTATTCATTAGTTTAAGCATATGTTTCTGCTTCACTTTTATCTCCTTCTGCAGGTTCAATGGTATGTCAAATCTTAGACAGATTGCAAAAGAATCATTTTTGGCCTAGTGAGATCAAATACAATAAATTCATTTTTTCAAAGGTAGTTATTACAGTAACGGTTATAAGTATCTGACTGCCCGAGATCGTCCAAAATTATTATATAACTACCCCTTAAATTTTCCAGAAATATAATATAAC